TTGATCTTACTTATTCAAATTAGAACTTACTGCTATCTTATTAGTTTTTATTACTACTCCTAGAAATTGTATTGTAAATATGAATACAGACTCTCAATCTATAATTTCAAAATATCAAAATCTTTTAAATTCCTCTACTACTCTATCATACACCTTACTTTTTACTTTGGAACATACTTGTTAACTTTATTAACTTGTACAAAATTCAAATTATCTTTTACAAAGTCACTGCTCATCAAGATAATATATACAATAATTTAGCTGATCAACTTGCATATAATCATTACAACCTATCATATATTACTTTTATGTCATATAATATTTATAACTCAGCTTATACTTTTATTCTTGAAAATTTTTCTCTTGAGTTACTAACTCATCACAATATTTATACAATTTGTCATATGCATATTTATGCATTATGGATTACTCAAAACAATTTTCAGAAATAAGAAAAAATTTTTAAACAAATTAATTGGCAAGCCACCTGGCTGTATATCAACAACAACCAAAAAATTTTAAACTTCTTATACAGTTTTCAATCATTTACTCTTAAGTTCTTTAGAATTAAAATTTTATTAGATAAACTTCCTGCTTCACATACTTTATATAAATATTATCACTCATACCTACCTACTTGTCACCAATGTCATTACATCAACTTTCACTTTTATTAAACAACTTGCCCATCTGATCAACTATTAAATAATCTTATAAATAATTTATTACAACATACTCTTAATATTACTACTCTTAATACTACTTCAGAAATTATAACTAATCTACATCATCAAATCAAACAACTAAACTGCATGTGCATTTACAGTATATCAGATTTATCTTCAATTTTTTCAACTCTATCAGACTTAGTATCAAATGAAATTATTACTATAGTTGCAGACTTATTATCTACAAAAATATCTATAATACTTATTATTAAATTTCTACTTCATAAAACCTGTAGGTCGATAGCATAGTAGTTAGCACTTCCAGATTACAATCTCAAGGTCATAAGTTTGAATTCTACTAGGTGACAACAACTTCGCCAGGACCACGATTAGAAGATCTTCAAAGAATTTCTCATTAAAGAAAAGAACAAGATTTATACATAAGAATGCAGTCCACTGGCATAGCCACAGAGTCAAGAATAATCAGAAAAGATGAATCTGTTAACAAATGACATTAATATTGGAGAAACCCAGCTAAAAGAATTAAAGAATATTAGATATAAAGAATAATCTGACTGTTGGATCATGTGAAGTTAGAGAACTGTGAACTGAATAAAAAGATAGTAGGTCCTACACCATGAAGCTAGGAACCTAGGACATTATATGATGGACTTAATGGAGTATAAGCTATCTTCACAAGTATGGTGATGAATATAGAAGCCACATGCTGTTCGATGATTTCTACTGAATAATAACTCTGCCTTTTAAAAAGATGTAACAGATTCTAAAAGGTGTCTAAGAACCTTCAGAATAGCAGCAGGAGGAGAAAAAAAAAATTTTTACTTCATTTTAATCAACATATTTATCATAAAATTTGGATTCTTTACTGTATTTCAAGATCTACAATTCATCTTCTTACTTCTAATTTACTTTTTAATTCTACTTTACAATTAGTGTAAACTTCTTTTCTTAATACTATTAGCTCTAAGATTAATTCTTGGTATATACAATAGATTAAATATCAAACTAATCTCTTATACATTATTACTAATACCCAAATCTAAGTGAGCCTTGGTTATTTTAGTTAATATAGATTGCAGATAAATTAGTCTGAACTTTTATTCTTGCTATAATATTTTAAAAATAGATTTAAACTTTATATAAAAATCTTAGTTAAATATTCAATAAAGATAGAAACATGGCCTTACTATTAATATTAAAAAAAAAAAATCAAATTACATGATTTTATATATAAATTTATATAACAACTATGTTTTAGCTTATTATATATATAAAAAATTAACTTGATTATAAATTCTAATATAGAACTAATACTAATACTAACTAATAAAAAATCTTTTAATCTTGTCTATTATCTTTAACCAAAACTAATACAATTTCTAATTCTAAAATTTGACTTCAATCTAAACTTTATAACAATCTAACTCTAATTCTAACTCTAATTCTAACTCTAATCCTAACTCTAATTCTAACTCTAATTCTAACTTTAATTTTAACTTTAATTTTAACTTTAATTTAATTTCTAAATATTTAACATTTTATTCTAATTTTAATTTTTCAAAACTCTGACTTATAAATCTTGATTCTAAGTTTAATAATAACTTTAAACTTATTGTTATTTCTAATTTTAAAAATCAACTTTAAGATTTGTTTAAATTATCAACTATAGTAATACTATAATTTTTTTGTAATTTTTTTTTCATTATTTTTCTAAATCTTTTCTTAATTAGATATAATCAAGTTCATTATTTTTTATGATTTGATTGATGTTAGATATATTAATATTTGTTAAAAAGAATTTAGAAGCAATAGATATAGATGAATAATAAGTGTAACTTAATAGTTGTGAAAAAAAATAGATAAAGGTTAAGACTTGTATAGTAAGTGTATATAATATTCACTGTAGTTAAGTTTAATTAATATTGTAAATGCATATTTAAAATTGTTAAGTTGTGAATAGCTATAATAGTAAATATGTTCTAAGAAGAATCTAAGTATTTAAGAATATAAAAGTAGAGATAATTTTAAACATACTAGCTATTAGTTATAGCATAAGTCTGAATTATATAGTGTATTATAAAATAGGTTTTGTAATATTTTCTTAGTGTGAAATAATAAAATAAAGTTCAAAAAAGTAGTAAGTTCTTTTGTAGGTTTGCTTACTATATGCTTGGTTCTTATAGCTATGAAAAGTGCTATAGTCTGCTTTGTATATTGAGTCTGACTATCATTAACTTGGTTCTTCATATAATTAGTTATTATTATTATTATTATTATTATTATTATTATTATTTATATTAGTTAAAATAAATAAGATAAATCAATTGCATTACATTACTTAATATTTAATACTTAATACTTGACATTTGATATTTGATGTTTGACACTTGACACTTAATATTTGATGCCTAATGCTTAATGCTTAATTCTACTAATTATTATAATCTTAATACTTAATTCTAATAATTGTTAGCAGATATATAAATTTTAAGATTTTTTCAAATTAAGTAAGTTACAAACATCTCTCTTCTTCTATTTTTTAGTTTAGTAACTTCTGTAAAGTGTAAAAGAATTTTTTAAAAACAAAAACCTGATAGATAACCTTATTTCTTTAATAAAATTATTATTTTTATTTATAAACTATATTGATATTCTTCTTTTTAGGATAATTTCTATAGGCAAGATCTATTATTCTTGTGTTAATAAATTATAAACCATTGTATTGTTTTAATTAAACTATCCAGAGAAGGATATAATTTCTAAATAGTTAAAGAAATTATACTTTTTTCTTAAATGCTACTATAAACTTGTAAAAAATCTTTATAACTATATTATTATTATAGTAAAAAGTTAAAAAAACCTTCTTACTATAACATTTGATGCCTTCTAATAGAAATTCAAAAATAAAGCTAATTTAATTCTTAGTTGTTGAATAATTTTTACTAAACATATTTATCTCAAAAGATAGTTACTATATAATTTTTACTAAATATAACTTGTTTTAAAAGATAACTACTATATTGTTTTAGAATTAGGACATTTTTTTTTTATTACTCTTTTAGACAAGAAGAAACTTTTTTTATAAATTATATTAATATTAAACTTTACAACAAAAATATACAAAACTATTAACAAGTACATTTAACTAGATCTTATTTTGCAGTTAATATACTTTAAACACAACATTCAGATTTATTTTGTCTTTAGTATTACTTTTCTTAATATACTAGTCTTTGCTTATCTTTTAGACAATTTTGAACTTAATATTAAACTATTTTCTCAGATTAACATTATTTCTTTTAAACTCAAGACAGCTTTGCAATTCTTACTACTCCTACTTAGATCAAATTATACTTCACTTTTGTATTAGAGATATTATTTTTAATTGCTGATACTAACAAAATATTAGTGATCTTAGAACAATTGACTTAGCTTTAATTTAAAAAAATACCAATCTTTTTCAAGTTTCTACTATACATTTTAAATACCAAAACACTTTTGATCTTTATATAGATACACCTTAACATTTTAGTTTTAAAGAACTTAATCAATTTAGTCAACATTTAGGAAACTTAGAAAGTTCTATTTTACTTTCTACAAATAAATATAATATAACCCTTACTGCTGATATTTCTCTTTTAACAGACCCAGCAGACAGCCTATCTCTTTATAGTGAAATAGTTACTTTTACTGAACCTTTTAATAATTACTATACTTCTCTTAATTCACCTTACCAACAGCCTCTCTTATATAATCTTTTAGTAACTTTTCTACTTATTACTGATCATATTAAAACTAAAGAATATATTACTGCTACTTTAGAATTAAAAGAAACTTCTAGTTCACATCATGCTTCTCTAAATTCACCTTGCCAGCAACCTTTTTTAAATAACCTTCTAGATATTTTTTCACTTCAACTTTTTTTTTATAACCCTTCTGTTATACTTTATCTTAGCCTCTCTTAAATAATCCTTTTATAACTTTACTTAAAAGCAAACAAAAACTCTTATTTTTGACTTTTTTTTTAATTTTTAAAATTACTTTTAAACTACAAGTGATTTAGAAACAAAATTTTTAACAAAGATTAGAGAATATGAAGAATGCCAGTAGAAACAAACAAATTGTTTCTAAATTTTTTTAAATTTTAAAATAAGTATCTCAACAATCATTAAACCAAATTTGAAAATTTTTTTTTATTTTAATTACATATAGTTATAGAATTAAAATAAAAAAAATTACCAAGCTTGGTTTAATAAATAAATTAATTTTTTTATATAAATTTACTTTAAAAAATTTATTTAATATGTCAAGTCATTTAGCTAAAAAGTGACTGCAATACGAATGCAAAAAAACATGTTTATTGACTTGTAAGAACGGAAATATTAGCTAAGAACACATGCTCGGTCTTTTGAATTCCCAATACTATATCGAACTGCGACGAATCTGGAAATTTCAGAGACGGACAATAAATAACGTAATTGAATGATCTTTCGAATATATAATAGTATCCATTTAAGCGATAAAATTAATAATTTTTTGTTAACCAATCTTGTCATGATGTTTCTACAACAGAGATATAAGGATCTGGAAATTTACTGCGATATAAAAGAATTAATACTTATAAGCTTTATAAATGTATATTCTTTGTAAATCGTAAGATCCCTATGTCCCTAAAACAAAGCTGGTAAGACAAAAAAAACCAAAAGCTCGATATGAATGAATCATTTCTGAATATTCCATCAATACTTTAAATTAAAACGTGTCTTTAATTAGTAATTGTAGAGTTATATAATAACCACCAGCATAAATACCTATTTCTAAGCCATAATATTTAAAACAAATTATCTTGTTAAACAAAAATGGTAAGACAAAATAATAACCAACAAATGGCGATAATAAATATATGTTTTCTTTAAATATGGGTTTTCAGATAATATTCTATATCAATCCTCCATCAGAGCCTAAATGCAATATAAAAGACTTCTTAAATCTTTTTAGCATACCTCAGTAATTTATGCATATTTTTAGTTATCGGTAGCCACATCATTGTTATTAATACATGCAGTTGTAGACGTTAAACAATCTCTATTTGGAATGGATCTCATTATTTCCATCATAACTTCAGGAAATGCAGGGTACTCGCCTGACCAAGTAAGAATAAGTTCAAAGCTTTTCGTTTTTGTAACTTCTTCATAATGCTTCAATAGATAGTCCATACAAATTTGCTTGAAATCATTATACAAATATGCTTGCTGAAAAAGTATAGTTGCCACGTTATCTACTGTAAGCAGTGTTTCAATACGTAGAAGCATCGCACGACGAACAGTAATGAGTTGATATTTGTCTGATAGTTTAAAAAGCGCAAGACATGCCGGCAGTGCAATCTCAGAAGGGATTCGATTGGTGTACAAGAAATGAAGAAATCGACGGTACGTTACTGGTTCAAAATCTGTGACTTCGATGACATGATATTGTCGTTGCGGCTGTTGTTGTGATACCGATTGTGATACCGGTTGCGATGATGGTAATACTCTTGATGAACGTTTATCTTCAAAAGAAATGTTGTTAACAAATTTGATATTATCCACTCCACAAAATTCTGATACGAGTGTCTGGAGTGATTTTTTAAGAGAAACGATTTCTTTTTCTTTTGTAATGATTTCTTCTTCTTTACGCTTAACGGAATCACGAAAGTCATCAAAATTAGTCTGCAAATTTTGTATTTTATCAATAATCAATGATTGTGTTTGCTGGGCATCAGAGAGTTTCGTTTGCAATTCAGCCAAACGTTGTTCGTAATGCTTGCTTAATGTATCAACGGCCGAAACCCGATTAGTGTCACTAGTCTTCTTGACATCTGATATGCTTTGTTCTTTTCCTTCCTCAGCCTTAATTTCTATAGCCAAGTTTTCAAAGGTTGCTATTTCCAAATCGCTATTAGATGAAACAGTCTCATCTATTACAGGGGTTGTAGGTTCAGGTGGCTTGTATTGAACGCTCAGAGTCTTTAAAGCATTTTCTCTTCGAGAAGATGGAATTTGCATTGAAAGATGAGTTGATTTATTTTCCCGTTTAGATGGTTTATTTGATTCGGTAGACTTTGCTACACTTTCAACACAACCACTATTAAACATGCCACGGAAATATGCACTCCGTGCACGAAGAATATCTTTATGGGCATATATTTTGGTTCCCTGCACGTTGAAAACTACATCAGCAGTATTTGGATTATCCAACATAGTACCCCAAGCGGTAGCAAGATCAGGTAGAGTATATTGAAAAGCGTTATCAATGGATTGAGGTGGTTGGACGCGAGGAGCTGTAGTCATCGAAAAACAGATCCCAAGTATGAAGCTTTCTGGAAGTGAAGATTTCTTAATAAAACATGGCCATCCTAATAACAATATATGATATATGAGTCAAAAGTATTCATCACATAATAACATTGAAGTAATGAAATGTGACTTACCACATCCAGACGACTTCCGCGAAAATTTTTCGAAAGGACTTTCTTTAAACTTTTTGGAGACCACAATGGTGCATGCCATTTCATCAATTATATAGATTTCGCAGGAAAGACCTTGACGAGAAATCCAAGGACCTTCGGTAATAAGTTCAGTGACAGAAGGTACAGCTTGTAGGAAGACTTCGAGATATTCTGCTTGCTTTTTAGCGGACTGTTGTTTTGTTTCCCCAAAAAAAAAACATACGAAGCAAAACACTTGCAATAAGTATACTATATTAAGGAAAGCTTAAATAAAGAGCTGATATAATATTATCAAAAGTTTAGTGTTTAATACATAGCTGTAGCAACCATTTTAAAATATAACATAGATACATACAGGCCCAATACGTAAGTTCCATAATTGATTTTCGCCTTTTGTCGAAAATATGGGGGTATGATATGTACTTTCAACATCACTGGCTTTCATTGTGAACTCATATTTAGCACACGAAAGTTTATTATCCATTATTACTATAACTTAGCAGTAAGTAAACTAAGGAGTTCACGATCTTAAAGTGTATCAAATTTACGGCAATTTACGACCTTTATATAAGAAATTAACAAAAAACGTTTCTATTTTTGATTGGCTACTTTCTAAAGTCCCTAATTTAGTAGGCAGGGGCGTTTTTTTTAAAGATAAAAGTCGTCTGATTTATTATACGTATAAATAGAACAATCAATTATGTTCGAGCCGTCCCCTAGATCATCTCAAACTGTTGATCCACGACTTTATGAAAAGTATCATCGAAGAGTAACAAAAAAATTTGCCCAAATAGAACATGAACGAACATACTCGCCTAAAGCTAAATTGTTTAAAATACTTAGGTTATTCTCCTATGGAGGTAGATAATAAAAAAAACATTTTTTTAAAGTTATAAAAAAAAAAAAAACAACCAAAAATTGATACCAAACAGAAACTTTTTTATTAATTATTTAGCTGTAGCAACATATGCAGTATTATACGCAGATTTCGGTGAAAAAAATCATTGTTTTACTTCTGTAAGTATTTAGAAATGCAGTGACATTTGACCTTATTATTGGACCGCTTTTATAAGCATTATTTTAACTTACTGAAGATAAGAGCATGGTACGCACAGAAAAAGAATGATTTCTGGACTTTAAGCGAAAAAGAGGTGCAAGACTTGAAAGAACAAGGAAAAATGTAATCGTATTAGATTTTATTCATTGAAAATTGAATTATTTAATAAATAAAAATTTCTACATTATTATATTGAAAGTAATTCAAATTATTATGGCCTCAAGTCAACATAGTTTTTGTGCCAACTAAAAATCCAACGAAGCATTTATCTAGCATTAAATCATAATTAACCCATGAATGTATGTTCACTGATTTATGAACAAAATTATAAAATTAATTCAATAATTTCAAAGACAAAAAAAAAAGATATATATATATAATATACAATAACTTACTAAATAATTTTGTTCCATCTTTACCAGCCGCACGCATTAATTCACTTTCGCCTATTAGTTTACATTCATTCTTTAGTCTGTTACTAATATATGAAAAAATAATATAAATTTACGTACCTCCAGGGTGAAATTTTAAATATGGAGTCATATTATATATTTTTCCGTTTATTGCGGTCCAAGCATCATTTTTTGACTTATGAAGTTTGAGTTCATCAAGCGTATATTTTCTTATTTCTGAAACACCCTAAAAAATAAAAACCAGGATCAGCACTATATGGTAATAGTGGCTAGTTTTGGTAGTCGGAATTTTTATAAGCTTGCTCGAGTCGATAATTTTAATTAAACTTAATCAGCTTAGTTGACTATTATCATATGCATCATAGCAATAAGCTATGAACCAAAATGTGGCTTAGAAGATGCCAATGGACTATGTCCATTGATATTCTTATCAGAACCCATCATAGTTCATTGCCAACCCTGCTTACAGCTGTTCTTAATTCTGGAACAACTGATAAAGATTCATATTAAGTATATAGGTTCAAAATGTCGTTATAGCCAGATGTCAGTATATCCAGGTGTAGTACCTTAGCCATGGCGAAAAAGTTGCTGTCATGTGAGTTTTTCATAATACAGCCAATTAGAATTTAGCTGATTGGCTAAAGTCACGTGACAATGGCTTTTTTCGCCACTAAAATATAACCGGAGTGACGCTTACAAGTTTATTCTCATTCACTCAATGCAAATGGATGATTTATTTAAATCTGCAATTTCCCAATTGATAATATACTAGGAATCGGAACTGATGTAAGTCCAGTGCATGAAGAATAATACCTGTGTCAGATAAATTGTGCAAATCATAACAATAGTTTTATTTATAATGCAAATCATGTGATTGAACAGATAGAAAATCCAGAATTACGTTTTTGATGGTTTAATATAGAATGCATCAAAAACGTACCTTTTGTATCACTGTGCATAGAATTTGAGTCCTACGCTTTGCTCCGGATAATTACTCTACAATTTTTCTTAAATCATCAAGTAATTCCTTATATTTGTCCATCTTATGATCATTGCCCCACGACATCTCAACGAGAATGCATCATCTGGTTCAATTTCTGATTATTTAAGTCTGCAAGTGCTTCTTTATACCTATTAATAATGCAATAAGTTTCGGTGCTTTATGCTAGTGCATATTATAGTCAACTAAGCCGATGTTTTAAAAAACCGACTAACTTAGTCGCTAAGTTAGCTAAGTTGACTAATGCTATATCGACTTGAAACATTATTAGTAGCACGATTGTTATATATAAATTACCGTCAAATCAACGTCACTATTCTTCAGCCTTGCCCAATCTAGAGCAGAATGTCCAGGTTCTAAAAACACTTTTTTTCGTATTTTGTTTGCTTTTTCAAGAGGAGTAAGTTTTTTGGATTGTATGCGCTGAGGGCTATCAGGAAGGGGAAAAGCCGGTATAACGTTTAACGTATCTTTTGCGCATTGAGGGTTATCAGGAAGGGGAAAAGACGATGGAACGTCTAATGTGTCTATAAGTTGCAAAGTTAAAAGTTAGAAACAATCTCTAGCTTGTGGAATAAAAGAAATAAACGTGTACCCGTATCTTCGGTGATCATTTTAGGCACAGGGAATAGATGATATTTTAAAAAAAACAATGTAAAAAATGTTTTTTTTCAAATGAAGTAAAAAAAAAGGGTTTAAATAACAGTACTGCAGTAGCGGAGACTGTTAAGTTGATTACTAATTCTGAATTTAGTAAATTAAAATTTCACGTGACAAATATAAATTAGTGTTACAGGACCTCGAAATCGTCGATTGGGCTTCGATTTGAGATATTATTATTTTTTCTCGAATAAATAATAATAACTCAAAGTTTAAAGATTTGATATCGATATACACAATGAAAATTTACATATGTAAAAAAAATTTTTTACAATGTAATCAATCAATCGCTTATCATTGCTAAAATATGATTGATTAATATTTGTTAAAATTCTTGAGTATTAGAGGTTAATTCCAATCTTATCAATAAGTATCGCCCATCTCTAAATTGGAGTATCATAATCCACCAGCTATAAATATATTAAATAGAATATTCAGTTACTAAACTGGTGACCAAACTGGGGTATTATTAGAATATAGCACTCCAAGTTGATTTTGGTTGAAACCAAACCGCTCCAACTCAACCCATTAACAACCCTATATTCGTCTCTGATAAAAATTATTTTATTTATTATTAAAAATATAATCTTTTTTTTGTGACATTAAATTAAATGTATGTTTTGCCTATCATCTAAATGTATTAACTACAAATTTAATTATTGTAATTATTCTCATCTTCAAAAAAACCATCATCCTTATATCTTTTTTTGTTTATAGTTACAAGCTTTTTTTACCCGATCATCGCTACACTGGTAATTTCGAACCGGTTATTCTGTCGACGACCTAGTAATAATATACAAAATTAAATGGTAATTATTAGATTGTTATTAAGAAAAACTGACGAGAATAATGAATGAGGCACACCTGAGAAATACCAGGTGCGTTCAATAAACTTCCAATTATAGGCAGTTTCCGAAGGAAGCTGACGATGACTGGAAAGAAATCACTGCAATAAATTTTAGGATAAGAAAAATTAATAAAATTTTTAAATTTTAACTAATTTTAGAAAAACAGAAGTACTCACCCAAATAGATTTAGGAAGCCAAACAGTTCGATCACCATCCCCAATACTGGCCATTTAAGAAATACCATAAGTATGCCTCCAAAAAAACATATGGTTCCCCGGATTTTATTCTTTCGTGCAAAAAATATAAGTGTTTTATTAAAACCAATAATCAATGTTATTCCTGATAGAAATAGTATCTGTCAATAAAAAGAGTTAATAAAAAAGAATTAAATTGGCTTTAAAATTTAAACGTCTAGTAAGTTAAGTATAGCATACGTTGCCTATGGCCAGTAAACCTCCGTCAAATAAAAGCAAAACACCGAGTAACATGAAAAAGGATCCAAAGGCCGTTAACCCGACACCAATCTCTAAATTGCGAACAAATCATTTTAAAATGGAGAAAACAAAAACTAGTTCTTCCTTTCGACAGCAACTTCGAACCTACTTTGTGTATCGGAAAGCCACATTATTATTTGTTTATTATTGTACAAAATGAATGGTCTTAAAGTGTAATTTTACAATAAATGAATGTAGTAAGGAATATTGGATTTGAACTTTTATTATAAGAAAAATTTAAATAAAATTGGTAGCACATCGGTGTAACATCTAATCTGTCCGAGATGTTTACTGAATTCGTATGCACGTTATGTTTAAATTTCTTTCACATAACTTTTAAGAACTTTCATAATTTCCAAACCTTAGACGCTTGTGCTGACTGTCTTACTCGGTTTCTATAACATGTTTTCACTACTCTAAGCTTTATGTATGAACAGCCTTCTACAGAATGAAATTAAAAGACTTTCAGTCTACAAGTCTCGTTGGTAAAAGGAACTATAAATAAACTACAGATTTGGCATTACAATTAGAGATGGTTAAATTGGTTAAATATTCTAAGATATGATTTTTAAAAAATCGGTTGGTTTAGAATAGATTTTAATTTATTTTATAAAATTATGCAATTCATTATATAAGGCCATACAAAATTAATTAATTGGTTTTCATAACCCGGCCAGTTAAATTTTAAAAGCTTGTAAAAAAATTTTATGTTTTAATAACTGGGTTGGTTTTTAACAAAAATTTTTATATATATGAAAATTTTTTTAAAAAGCCGGCTGGCCGGATCTGATCAAAGGTTTCATGTTATGAAAACCAAGATATTAATAAGTTAGCCATTATCCATTATGTCTTGTAGAAGGCCTCCTTTTGAAGAAATCCATTTGAACTACTGAAATTGATAACTAAGGCTGAATGACACCTAGCCGAAAGCGTATTTACTTGAAAAGAAATTTGTTGATCAAAGTTCTGGTTAAACGGATTCTATCCGCAATGGCAATTACTTTGATCTTAAGTAAGTTAGTTTATTTTAAAGTTTTTAAAGTATATTTATAATTTATATTAAGGTTCGTGGAAAATCATTTAAGCTGATTGATATTGAAACTGTTATTTTCATAACTTGACGGCACACGTAATTCCAATTCTTTTTTTCATACAAAAAAGTTATGAAAAAATTCGAAATTTATGTTGTTAAAACTGATGAAACTGATGCTCTGGGTTATTATCGAGTCAAATATAAAGTCTGATCAAGCCTAATTAGTTGGTGGGAATCAAATTTTGCCTGCAAAGCGTTATTGATCCAATTTCGGGTTTATTCATAACAATCTTCGCGCACGTTTAGGTAGCAAAGGCAACTATGTTAGATGCGAATTTTTATGTGAACAATTTAACTCCAAGATAAATTTTTAGCAGTTATAGCGACACAATTCGTTGTCAAAAAAGGTTGAAAGGCCTAGCCAAATAATTTTACAAAATAGCAGCAACTTATACTTGGGTTGTTGTCTAGCGAAATCATGCTTAGAGTATATATGTTTCATATACTCTAAGCATGGTTTTGCTGGGCAACAACCCACTTAATTTTTAGGGAAATTCTATCTTGACTCGGGTCAAAATGACCCAACAGGAGTATATCTATATTATTTGATACGGAGTCTATAATAGTTGTGTTATGCAGCAAGAAAATAACCTCTGTAGGGTTATTTTGCCCCAGGTCAAAATAGATTTTATAATTAGTACGTAGTAGTAAACGTAAAAGCACAAATTTCTTCTCTGCCCATTAAATTTCATCTTTTTAGTTATATTTATTGATTGTAACAATGGTATCGGTTATGATGAAAATAGGTTAAATAGGTTTAACAAGTTTTACATTGAAATTACTATATCTTTCTAGTCATTGTATTCGAATATTTAAAAGGACTAGAGATGTACCTGGGCGTATTTTTCAGTTATCCTCGCCAAGTTTCAAAGTTTTATACCATGCGCTATTCCCCCAAAGTATATTAAGTTGCTATTATTTTTTACATTGAAATTACTATATCTTTCTAGTCATTGTGTTGAGGTGATATACAGTACAGAACTTTACGGGTATGAATACATGGTACCTAACATATAATAATACGTGTCGATCAATTCTTAGAGGGTAATGTCGATCATTTATCATATGATCTGCATGGTAAATTGAAGGTAACAAAAATAAGTTGAGTTATTGATTTCAATTTGAAATTTGGAATACAGCAAAACAAGTAGGATATCTACATAAAATTTTGGTATTAAAGTTAAAAGAATATTTGTTATTGTTGAGAAAAACATATAAAATATTAAATTCATAACAGATAATGCAAATATAAATATGTTATATATGAACTTTAATAGTTATAATATTGAGATTAAGTGGTTACAATAAGTTGTTATAATTAAAAAAAATTGTAAAATTTTCTAACAGATAATTGAAGAATGATATCATTAGTTTTTTTAAATTAAGATAAAGTTATATCTATAAAAATAGCAAAATTAAAAATTAAAAAAAATATTTTAAACTTTTAAGAAAATTAATAATAATAGAAAATAAACAAAATAGGGTGTGGCAACCTAGTGAAGTGGTCAGGTTGTCAACCTCCCAAGTGGTAGGTTGAGTGTTCAAATCCTATCGATAGTGAAAATTTGAATAATCACCTATGTAATATTCGTATTATAGCAACTATTACTAACGGTTAGGTTAGAATACCTGTAATGATGGTCACACCAGCATGACTAGCAGGTTATGGGGCATCTGTGCAATATTGGAGTTATACAGAGGAATGCAAACTGACATATCAGACAATGCAAACACTAGATAAGTTCTCATGACTGTGTAAATTCGTTAAATTGGGTAACAAGAAGTCCATTTGGGAAGACCCGAGTAGAGAAGTAGTTGGATCTTCGATGACCCTACTGTAAAGGCTAGCTTGGTGAAATGGATACCTAGGTCTAGTACCCAGTCCTAATAGTCAGACAGACAAGAACCTCTGGGTTGGGAGTCTCAGAGGTACCACCAACCAGGCTGCTAAAATAAACCGGAGGAAAAGGATATCAGGCTGATCTGATATACTGATGGACTGGTTATAGTCCTACATGGGTTATCTGGATTGGGAGTTTGGTAAAAGGATAGGGTAAAAGACAGAGGTATACTAAAGTACTAGGATTATGCTATGAAGTAGATGCTAGGATCTAAGTAAATTCTACAAGACCATAGCAGTTTAATGATTAGTCCTGACTGCAAGTGTTGGTTCTGTCATAGCAATACCTAGGTTAGCTATAAAAATAGGTACAAAAGGCTCTAAAAGGTTTACCTCGAGGATAAATTAGTCCTAAGGTTAAAGATGATGATCTGGTACATCTAAGATAATTAGTGATGTTAATACAGGTTACAGGTTTAGAGAGTTTAAAATGAAACATCCAAGCAGGGGTATTAGATATGATAATTGGTAAGAAACCTTTGGGTGGACTCCTTAAATAGGTAATATAGAAAAGTTATATGTGTAGCCAATTGTACACTCTCCTGTAGTGGTTCATTGAATCACAATACTGATAAGTGATTAATAAAAGTCAAAAAACCAAAGAGGTTACCTTAATATT